CACAATATATCAGTCCCAAGAACCAAATTTTTCTTCAACCACAAGTTGGCTTTAGTTACATAAATCTTGGAGATAATCTGTATCACAGCACTGTACTTATTTCAAAAAATCTAAATTAGCTACTGGTCTCATTTTCCAAAGCAATGTAAATTGAACCTAATTCAAGGTATCATTACATTTCTTTGTAATAGCACTAGATGAGCTGTCAGGAAATGGCCCCGCAAATTGCTAATAGTGTTGGAAACTAATTCAACCTTTCCAGATTGTAATTAGGCACTGAAACTATCCTTTGACTCAGTGAGTCCACAGTGGGTATAAGAGTCCAAGGAAATAATCCAAAAGAAAGAAGTATTTGAACAAGAGGTACTCAGGTTTATAAAAGTAACACTTATAATAAATAGTAAAAAGGTAGAAAAAAATAAAAGAATAAAAAGGATTGCACCAACTACAGCTGTTAGCCGAGCGTGGTGGCTCATACCTGTAATCCCAGCACTTTGGAAGGCTAAGGTGGGCAGATCACTTGAGTCCAGAAGTTCAAGACCAGCCTAGGCAACATGAGAAGAATGCCTCTAAAAAAATACAAAAATAAGCTGGTTGTGGTGGCACAAACCTGTGCAGTCTCAGTTATTCGGGTGGCTGAGGTGGGAGGATTACTTGAGCCCAGGTCAAGGCTGTAGTGAGCTGAGATCATGCCACTGAACTCCAAACTGGGTGGCAGAGCAAGACCCCGTCTCAAAAACAAAACAAAACAAAAAAAACCCAAAAACAAACAAATAAAAAAACTACAGCTGTTGATGCATGGAACACTATACTGTGATTTTCAAAGAACAAATACTTAAATGAGTAAATGTAAAATTTTTATGTTATTCAAGAATTCGAAAATCATATTCTGTATGTACTATTACTATAAAAATTATGTCTGTACACTGACACAAATGAATGTGAGTTTAGAGTAAAATAAATATAGTCTTACATTTAATACATTCTCTTTTCCATAGAGAATACATTAAAATAAATTTTAATGCTGGGCTATTTTTGGGCTTGCTATTCAGTTTTATTAAGTTACTGTTATATTATTGCTATTTTTGTTGTACTCAGACTCCCACTAAAAAACCATTTCTTCAATGGATGTGGTGGCTCACACCTGTAATCCCAGCACTTTGTGGGGCTGAGGAGGGCAGATCACCTGAGGTCAGGAGTTCGACACCAGCCTGAACGATATGGAGAAACCCTGTCTCTATTAAAAATACGAAATTAGCCAGGCGTGGTGGTACATGCCTGTAATCCCAGCATCCCAGCTACTCGGGACACTGAGGCAGGAGAATTGCTTGAACCCAGGAGGCGGAGGTTGCGGTGAGCCAAGACTGCACCATTGCACTCCAGCCTGGGCAGTAAGAGTAAAACTCCGTCTCAAAACACACACACACATATACACACACTTCTTCAGCTCTGGCATTTGGAAACATTTATTAATTACTGCACTGGAAGTAGAATGACAAGATTCTATATCTGACCAGCTTCCCTCTCATAACTCAAACTTCACCTGCATCTGATTTTTGCCATATGAAAATGGAGAAAAATAATGCAATAATGTTTATAAACTGACACGGAGCACCTCCAATGAAAGGTGCCAGCAAATACAAACAACAAAGGTGAAAAAAAACACAAAACAAAAAAAACCATCACCACCTATATCAATCAGCTTGCACAAGTTACATTTATCCTTCTGAGCCTCAACATCTCCCTCTGTAACTGGAAAGAAATGGGTTAGAATCACATGGGAAAAGGGGAGGATTCGTGGAGGAAAAGTAGGCATATAATAGCTGAAAAAGCATCCTCGTTGATCCTCCTGAGTCCTCTGATCAATCCAGCCATACATTTTGTTTTGGGGGGAGGGCAGGATAAACTGGAGGATAAACTGCCATCCCAAAAAGGGGTGGCAATTTGGCTACATGTCTGCAAATCAAAAATGCAGACGTATCCCTTGACCTAGTAATTCCACTTCTAAAAGTATATTGTTCAGATAACTTTATAAATGAGCACATAACACAGTATGTACAAGGACATTCATTGTATTGCTGTGATAGAAGAACCTGGAAACAAATATTTAACCCAAAGATATTACAGTACAGCCATACAATAATTAAAAGAATATCAACAGAAAGAACAAATAACTCTCTCTATATTAATAGAATGATTTCCTAAATATGTAAAGTTAAAAAAGAAAACAACAGTAAGGTATGAGTGGTACATCCCACGGCGGAAGGAGTATGAATAAGCAGGTACATATTTATAAAGGAACAGTGTCTATGGAAGGCCACATAAACTGGAAACTTCAGCTATCTCTGGAGAGGAGGTTAGGGAGACAGGAGACTTGGGGCCAGAGTAGGAGGGAGACATTTTTCTCTATATGCCTTTTTGTATTGTTAGAATTTTTGAATTTTTCTCTCATCTGCATTAATTATTTTTTCCCAAAATTGACTAGGACTCTCTCTACACCTTCCTCTGGGTCTAAGAGGCTGTGATCCTTCCTACCTTTGTCAGACCTGACCAGTGCCTCTTAAATTGCACCGGCATCTGTATCTGGCCCCATACTGCCCCCAAATGACCTTTCCAAAACTCATTCAGCTCAAGTCCCTGACAGCCTTTAAATCCTCTAGTAGCTCTACACTGTCCAACACCAATACAGCACATATACAGCCCTTTGAGCTGATCCTGATGATCTCCTCTCCCAGCCCTCCTCCCTTTAACTGATCCAGCTATAATTATCCTGTTCCCTCCTCCCCAAGGACAGTGGATTCCATCCACTACCAAATCTGCCTGTGCTGCTCCTCTTGCCTATGTGTGCAGTCCACCACGCAAACTCTTATGCATCCTTCATGATCCAAAGGCCCCCCTCCCAGGAAAGCTTTTCCAAATCACCCAGGCAGGGGATGCTCCCTGCACAGCCTGGCAGAGGCTCTGGAAATACACTGCCAAGATTCAAATCTTGAGTATTCCCTCATTTGCCCACTGTTTGGCTTCAGTTTCCAACCCTGTAGTGTACAAATAAGCCCTTTTATGACTGTTGAAAAGACTGGGGAATTCATGGAAAACATTTATAACATAGCTTGTCAAAAGGCAAATACAAAATTGCTATTATTATTACAATCTTACAGCACCTGTGATGTATTTATATCCACCTGTCCTACATTAGACTGAGCTCCTTAAAGGTAAGGACTGACTTCTTCACTTTTATTTTGTATCCCAAACAATTCACCTGGCAAAGGGAAGGCACATTAATGTATTTAAGTCAGAGGGTTGGTTTTTCTAGTTCTGTATTTCCTCCAGATGTTAACTGGCTAAACAGTACCCAGAGAACAGCCCCCATGTTTACAAAACCCACCATGCCTTACAATGCACGTTATCAGCCAGGCCACTTACAGCAAGCAGAGATGAAGAGACTGAAGGGCTTTTAGTCTTTCAGGGACAGTTTTTTCGAGGCTAGTGGAATATGAAACCTACCAGTTCTCACCTGCTAATTGCTTATGGGGGCTGGATGGGATGGACATGGGGAAGTGGGAAATCGGAAATACTCAAAGTCCTGGGCATATACTCCAGGCAGGCCTTCAAAACACGAAAAAAATCTCTTGAAATGGATACCTGGAAAGAAAGAGAGCCGAGGCATAAGGAAGAACAGATGGGAATCTACAAGAAAACTGGAAGGAAGAATTCTCCCAGCATGGGAAATAGAAAGGTGGGCAAGACACAACTCCTGCCCGCAAGAAGCTTCTCAAATGAGAAGAGCTTTAAAAGAAGTGGAGCTTGGCAGGTAAGGGTAGGGAAGAGGATCACATAAAACAAAAACATCCCAACATATGAAGGGGCAGTCAAGCAGCTCTGAATAATAGCGAGCAAGGGGGATGAAGGGAAGGAGAACTGAAGGATCAGATTAGGCTGAAAGTGAAGGAGTAAACTGAGGCAAGATTGTCAAGGGCTTTGTATGACCTGATAAGGCATTCTGAGCTTCATTCCTCCCATGGGAAAAAGAAAAACGAGGGAGTTTTTAAGTAAACAAGTGACAGCATCAGATCTGTGTTTTTGAAAGGAGTGGCCAGACAGGAAGATGTTCGCCCTTTCCTAGTCAGTCCTCCTCTCGCCCACCATCTTCTGTTCCTCCGGCTGCCAGCGCAGCTAGCAGGTGACAAACGAAGCCATCTCCGGGGTGATGTGACTGGTTCAAGAGTCGGAACCCCTCTCCGGGGCAAAGGCTTCTGATGGCGTTCACCCTGCAGAGGGTGGATCTGCACATTCCTCTTTTCCTGCCTTACAAATATCATCAGTGATCTCAAAATAAAAATAAAACCCTCAAGACAGGACTCAGCTCGCTTTTAAAAATTAACTTATTTATTTTTTAATCTTCAGGAGATATGATTAGGAACGAATTCTTTAAAAAAAATTTTCTTAATTTACCGAAAGTAAAAAGGGAGGGACCTGCGTTCTCAATTGGCCTATTCTGAATACTGGGCAGCTCTCAGCCCCTATTTCCCTTCTTAAACAGCCTCAACAGTTGGGAGAGGGCGGCAAGGAGAGGGGCTGGGAGATGCGCCGGGGGGTCCGGAGAGGTGGACCTGAAGGGAAAGAAAAGTTGGCCACCGCAAGAGCAAATTTTCTCATGCCAGGAGTTTTCCCCTTTCCTCCCATTTAATGGACCTGAGCAAATTCTGTTCTCGCCGTTCTAAGTTTTTTCTCTGAGAATGAACTCTGGCAGCGCCCTGCCCTGGTCCCAGGAGGACGCACGCAAAGTTCCCGGGCAGTCGCGAGGGGTCGGCGCCCAGGCCAGCACGTTTCCGGGGACCCCTCCCTGGACCCCGCAAGGATGCACAACCCAACCGCAGGCGCCCGCAGGCTTCTACCCGGAAAAGAGGGCTCCAGGCTCCGGCCCGGGACCCCTCCCACAGCAGCCAGGAGCCACCTCCCCTTCCGGAGCCCACCCGGGCGCGGCGGCCGCGAACACTTACAGAGTCTGGCGTTGGGCGGGACCGCTGGGGACGAGGACAGCGGCTCCGCCTCGGCTCCGCGGTGGCGTTTCGGCCCGCCACTCGTCCTCAGGGCCGCCACCCGGCCCGCGGCTCCGAGCCCCGCGGCGGCGGCGGCGGCCTCGCCTCCATGGCGAGGGGAAGCGGCTGAGGGGCGACTGGGCGGACGGCAGTGATGGCGGCAGCGACCCGGGTCCGAGGGCGATCGCGCGCGCGCGCGTCTCTGTCAGCGCCGCACTCGCCGAAGCCTCGCTCCCGACCGGCCTTGGGTGTAAGGCGTGTGATGATTGGCTGTTCAGAGACAGGCGCTGGTTGGCCGACAGCGAACGGGCCGGCCCGCGGGGACCCCGCCTTGCGCGCCGCCTGGAGCCCACTAGCCGGTCTGGGGCGCCGAACCCGGTCGCACGGTCTCCGGTTAGCTCGGGAAGGGTTCGGCTCGGGGCCGCCCAGTCCTTCAGGAAGCCGGGCCCCGGAAGGATCGGCCGCGGGTGCACCAGTGCCTTCCGCCACTCTACAGTCACAGGCCCCAGGACTTGGGCCTTATTTCCAGTTTACAGATGAGGAAACTAAGGCCAAGCACAAACTACACCACCAGGGCGGCCTGGAACTAGAGAGCCATCTTCCTAACCCTCTCCAAACGTGATACTGTGGGTCTTTTTTTCATCCCCTAATTGCTGCAGGTATTTAAAGGACAACGGATCTCACTGGGGAGGGAGAGGAACTTGCCAAGTCCCTAGAACGGGTCTGGCTCCATGGGTGCCGTCTTACATCAAGTCGGCCCACGCCGTCCCCACCCGAGCTCCAGGGTAATCTCCCCCACTTTCCAGATGCGCAGGCTGGGGCCAGCCTCGCCACCGAGCTGAGTAGAAGCACAACACGTGGTGCTCTGCGGTGAGGGGTGCCTTTTGCGATCGGCCTGGCGGGGGAGGGGAGGCTCAAAACGCAGATAGCAGCCAGAGTGCGCCCTCTCCCGGTCGGGGTTGGGGCGCGGACCCCCTTCCCGGCGCTCCCGGGCACCGCGTCTGGCGCGTGGCACCCCCGAAGCAATCATTCAGTGCATCCGGTGGCAGCAGGTTCCTATGTGGATCCCCACGGGTTCTGCAGGACGTGAGCGTCTGCGGCTGAAAGCCGATTACGCAGTCGTGATAGGTGGCGAAAGCGACATTTCGCCGGGTTGTGATCCCCAGTAGGGGTCCCCTGGACACTCCGGGACCCGCGCAGGGCGAGCGGCTGAGCATCTGCAGGCAAGAGACAGATTGCACACGTAAACCGAGGTGCGGGTAGGGGACGCATTATCCCAGACCCGGGGTAGGTGGCGGTGTCTCCTCCAGACCGGGCAGCCCCTGAGTCCCCCTCACCCATCCCAGGCCAGGAAGACTCCCAAGTTCGGGACGCCCCAGGGGAAGGGTTTGTAACCCGCGGCAACTCTTCGTGGAAGGGAACATTTCGTCGCAAAAGGGGCTCACATCAGCAACCCCTACCATCTCCAGTCCTCTCACCATCCCCGATCCCCACCACTGCCTGCTGTTGGAGCGCCAGTTTAGGACTCTGCCCCTACTCCTCCGTATCGTGGAGTAAGTTAGTCCATGCTAACCCGAGCCATGGCCTTTTAATATAGGTGGGGTGGGCCTCAGGCCGTCCCCTCCCCGGCAGGGAAGTCTCTCCTTGAGTGGGAGTTATGACTGTCTATCCCTTTCAGCAGGGCCGGCCCAGAGGTGTGCGTGTAATGGCCGAACCCAAGGCACCTCTAACCAATAGACCCTCCAGCCCAAAGGCCCCGAGTCCACACGCCTAGTCTTCTAACAGTCAGACCCCACTGAGGGTGGATCCTTCCCCACGCCGAACATTCACATTTCCCGGGAAGTCCAAACTCAATCTATTTCACCACCGAATGGAAAAGTGAAAAGCTAGAAGTCAAAATGTGAAAATCCCTAACAAATAATGACGGCAAGTGCAGGAGGTACCCGAGTAGCTAGGATGGCAGCCCTGTGCTCGAGAACCAAACCCACCAGCTTACTTTTTCTTTGTATCTAACTTACACTATTTCTTAATATGTTTGTTTTTGTTGATTAGTTTTATTTTATTTGTATTACCCTAAAAGGGGGTGACAAGCTACTTTGATTGTTAATATAATTAAAATAAATACTAGTACAGTAATTGTTCATCTTTGAGACTATCTGAAGGACCCCTTTTGGATATGACCACACTGGGGAAAATCGTTGGGTGTGGTAGTCACAGAGCCCGGGTTTCCAGCTCAACCATGTGCTGGGTGACCTGATCCCTCCCTCTGCAACTCTTCCTGGAACCTCCCAGGGCTGTATTAAGAATTAGGCATGTTCAGCTTGGCAAGTAACCTATTCTCAGGAAACGAAAGTTCTCTCTCCCCATGAGACAGCAGCACGACGGCAAGAGCATTTGTGGTGTGTGCACAGGGGTGACAGAACTACAGACCTTGGAGACCTTAGGAAGGAGGGGTTCCGCTCAGCAACCACACAGATGCTGTTTCCATTGGAAGAAGGCAGAGGCCCCTCCTCAGCTGCCTGCCTGTAGATACCTGCCCAGCTCCCATCCTACTTGGCTCCCAGAGTGTCCTGAGCGCCCTCGCCCATCATCATCTTCACAGAGTAAAGGGTTATCTTAGGAGAGAACTGAGGAAGGGAGGGGAGGCAGTTCCCTTTGCCAGAGCCCTCCTACTCCTAGTCCTGCATTAGTCCCAGCCCACAGGAGTACATACCTACAGGTAGCCATTTCTCAGCCACCCCACAAGTGCCCCAACAGTTACAGGGTTTATGAGCAAAGGAGCGGACCAGGAGAGCTGGAGGATGGGGATAAAGGATTCCTGTTTCTGTTTTTGTTTTTTCCTGAGATGGAGTTTTGCTCTTGTTGCCCAGGCTGGAGTGCAATGGGTGACCACTCACTGCAGCCTCTGCCTCTCAGGTTCAAGTTATTTTCCTGCCACAGTCCCAGGAGTAGCTGGGATTACAGGCAGCTGCCACCAAGCTAATTTTTTTTTTTTGTATGTTTAGTAGAGATGGGGTTTCACCATGTTGGCCAGGCTGGTCGAGAACTCCTGACCTCAGGTGATCGGCCACCTCAAGTGATGGGCCCACCTCAGCCTCCCGGAGTGCTGGGATTACAGGTATGAACCATCACGCCCGGCCTAGGACTGTTTCTTTAGGCAAGTCACTTACCTCTTGGAGCCTCCTTTCCCCTTCGAGTAAGTGGAACAATGAGTCATTCTTGCAGCAAATACTTATTGAGTGCAGACCATGTGCTGGACACAGCAAGGAATAAGACAGAAGAGGACAGAAGAGGCCTCGCTCTCAGGAGCTTACATTCTGGATAGGAACATAGACAATAAACAAATGAACAAGAAAATTTCCTAAATGCTGAAATGAAAAAGCAAGGCAGTAAGATAGAAAGGTGAAGTAAATGAGAGCCAAGTGCCTTTGCAGGCCACTGTTCAACCCCAAGTCTTTTACTGGAACTTTGTATCTGAAAGAGACTGGACTTATAGCCCCCTTACCCTAAGAAGGTGAGTTGCCCAGGCTGGAGTGCAATGACACCATCTTGGCTCACTGCAACCTCTGCCTCCTGGGTTCAAGTGATTTTCCTACCTCAGCCTCCCAAGTAGCAGGGATTACAGGTGCCCACTGCCATGCCTGGCTATTTTTTTTGTATTTTAACTAGAGACAGGGTTTCACCATGTTGGCCAGGCTGGTCTCAAACTCCTGACCCCAGGTGATCCACCCACCTCAGCCTCCCAAAGTGCTAGAATTACAGGCATGAGCCACTACACCCAGCCTTTGCCCTGATTCTCACTGCACTGGGTATCGCTGATACCAGAAGGATGTTTCCAGATTCTTTGCCCCAGCTACACAGTCCTAGTCCTAGCCCCATACATTGGACAAAACATGGCCCTGTCCACCACTGTAGGCATAGGCCTGCTGTACAAACTGCTAAGGGCAGAAACCATCTCACTAATATTAATTGAGTAAGCAAGGATTTGAAAAAAGAAAGTCCCAGTTCTGGTTTTTAAATGTCACAATTTATAAGTTTATACATGTCAAAATCCAGAAAATTACATTTAAGATCTGTGGATTGCATTGTATGTGGATTTTGCCTGAAAAGAAAAAAATAATTACAAATCAAATATGAACTCCAGTTACTGAAATGCATTCTGAAGTACTTAGGGGGAGGTGTACTGATGATGTCTGCAACTTACTTTGAAATATATGAAAAATATGGATTGACATAGAAAAATGGATCGATGAACAGATGTGTGATAGTAAGATGCTAATGGTACAATCCAGGTGGTAGTTATACAAATGTGCACTGTAAAGCTATTTCTACTTGGCTGTGTTTGAAAGTTTTTATAATAAAATGGGGGAGGCAAATCATTGATTAACTTTATATAAAAGTATAAAAAACTGCCTTTAATTTCCAAACAACTCTCTCCATGAACAATTCTAATGCTTCTCTACATGCACACACACCTTTTATAAAGCTGCAATCACTGTTTATATAAATTTTTCATCATTGTCAAAAGTTATTTCTCACATATTTCTAAGACTCCATGTGTAAGTGTTTAATGTTTGCATAGCCTATGAGTAAATACATTGTATGTTACTTTGGAGATGTGGGTTTTTTTTTTTTTTTTTTTTTTAGATAAGAGTCTCGCTGTGTCACCCAGGCTGGAGTGCAGTGGCACAATCTTGGCTCACCGCAACCTCCGCCCCCCGGGTTCAAGCAGTTCCCTGCCTCAGCCTCTCAAGTAGCTAGGACTACAGGTGCCTGCCACCATGCCTGGCATTTTTGTATTTTTAATAGACGGGGTTTCAGCATCTTGGCCAGGCTGGTCTTGAACTCCTGACCTCTTGATCCACCAGCCTCAGCCTCCCAGAGTGCTAGGATTACAGGCGTGAGCCACCTCGCCCAGCCTGTACTGTGTACATTCTAAAAGCACTAGCCAAGCCTCCCTTTCCAGAGAGGAAAACTGGGTTGTTTGGTAGCAATCTTTTTTGAGAATGCCAAAAGCTGGGAAAACATTTTTTAAAGGCATCAAAGAGCTACCAGGGCTGTGAGAAATTGTGGGGCCAAGAGTGGGAACAAAAAAGCCCA